ACAAAGGTGCTCTGAGACTTCGCTGAAGCAATCGCTTGCTTTGCTCTCAGTGGGAGTGGACAGGCCAAATTGAATGGACTGTACTAGGCCTAATGATTGTCTGAACGCGTTTCCGTTTGCTATTGTTCCAACAATATGTGGTTAGCTGAGCATGCTTATGCCCACACATTTCTCTTCTGAGTATGCGACCATCCTGTCCAGTGGTAAGCTGACAGGGGGCGCCCTGGTTCCTTAGGAGGTGTTATTTACTTGATCCAATGTTATGGTTTTCAAAAAAGGCACTTTCACACAATAGCCAAAGCATACCGAAACTATATGTTCCATTCTTAGTGTCCTAGATGCCTCAGTACATCTTCCATGGTTAGGTCAGGTGCGCAATCTTAAGGTTCAAACTTCAAACACAGAGCCTGACAGCTTTAAACTGCAAAGGTCTCACTTAAGCAGTGCCAAGCATCAACATGTCGAAGCAGTTCTCCCCAAACAGCTCGATAAAGCTCACCTCTGACCCGGCATCCGCACATGTTTGAAGAACTTCAGTTCCAGCCAATGGATGGAATAAGTCGCCAAAATCGGGAGTTATACAGATTATACACATGGAAATGCAGGAGCCAAATTCAGGACCCAAGGCCGTCAAAACCGAATGCTTCATCCCTCAACAGGACGCCCGACGGGTGCAACTGAAGAACTCATCCATCACCCACACCTGACGCCTTACGCCATCCCACCGAGGCACCGTCACCGAGCGCCCCTGGGCGCCGAGGAAGATGTCCTCAGCTGCCTGCTCGTAGACGGAGCCTGCGAGGCAGCGGTGCCGTCTGAAAAGGGATGAGTGTTAGATGGTGTTAGCATCTTGTCTTGACACCCCAAAGTGAGTGCGTAGAGCATGAGACACCTGCCTAGAATCTATAAAAGAATGCTGACACCCGAAACAATGCACCACTTCATAGTTTCCGCAAGTTCCAGCCAAGAGTCGCATGGTGTAAGTCTTTCCACTTCCTGTTTGACCATACCTCGGCAAGGCAGCCTAATCTGAAGAGCTGCGGTCAATATTGTTAAAGAATTGAATGTAATCAATAGGCAAGAGCTGTAGACTCCTGTAGGCTCTGTAGACAATGTCACCTGCCAAGTATTTATATATAAGGCCCTGGGAGCAGGATCATGATCCACGTGGAAAGTCATCCCAACCAATCACAAAAGGAACACATCTGTTCAAGAAACCATGCTCTCAGTAGATCACGCAGCACTTCGGGGGGATCTGTACTGAGTCACCCTGTGTGATGCCTAGTGACAGGCGCCTAGTGACAAGCCTTTTGCCCAACTGTGTTGAATTCAGAAACCCGAAAACCACTGGGTTGGAGGAGAATCCTGTGTGCGGGGTTGATGGATGTCTTCTATTACTAGTTGTCATAGGGAGGCAGCATAATTGACCAACTTGGACTAAAACTGGGACCACACAGGTTCCACATGGCTCAACCTGCACCCGAGGGGCATCATCACGGTGCCACTCTTCCCTTGCAAGGAATCCAGCACCAACTGCCTCGCATGGGCCGTTCCTTTAACATAGAAACGCTGAACTGCTGAACAAAAGACCTCCCAGCCGCCGGTAAAATGACCTGTGGGACAACACAAGCCACAGTAGAAACAAGGAAGAAACGGGCATACATCAACGACCATCTTGGTTAATCCTGAAGGTATTGGTTCTGCAAAAGCAACTCTACATGGCCCACAGGTAAGCCATCTCTTGCTTGAAGCGCATAGGAGCTTCCGCACCCAGCCTGGCCGTGCCCTGATAGACTTCTACGTTGTTGGCGACTTCGCCGAAGGTCTCATCGAAGGCGAAGTCGTAATGGTTCATAAACCTGAGCTCTAGGACCAATTGGAGCCCTTCGTCACCCATCTCGGTGAATTTATGAAGCTGAGCTTGCAGGGGGGAAACTTTCTACGAGTTGCTATAGAGTGTCTTGTGATGCCAACATCTGGGGCAGTACATTTGCAGTGTCAGTATCAATCCACACCGACGACATCCATTTGGCACCGTATTTATGAGCAAATTCCAACAAAGTCTCAAACTGACCAAAAGAACCGAAGAAGAGTTGACACCTTGACACCTTGCAAGTGATTTGGCTCCTCACTTCCGCACATGCTTTTTCCGTACCAATTCTGCATATATTCCACCAAAACCGGACCCACTGCATGACTCTCCTGCATCACAGGGTGAAGCACCAAGTGGCAGTTTCACCATATCCGGATGCATGCGCGCATCGTGCACGACCACGCGACCTTCCATGCAGGTGATTGCATCGAACTCTCCTGGCATGGTCAGCACATGTCAGCAGGTAGAGGACCGCCGGAGGATGATCCCTTTCATGTGTAAAAGACATGGGCGCCGTTCTGAATCTCTGCGGAAGGAGAATCTCATCCAAGCACTAGAATCACTCATTGTACTGTCTTCCAGTGGGCATGGACAAATTAAGACGTGTCCACTTTTAATATGCAGTTGCTAAGAGTGGCCTATTCACATCACTTATCAAGGTTCAAAGCCCGCCGCCGGCACCGCCCGCACCCCACTCTCGCGCAGGTGCGATCGCTCGTGCGCCCCCCGTTTTGATGCAGGGAGGTCCTTGTTCGATCTCATGCTCGAAGATGGGTCTCTTTCGAACCTTAGAGCTTCAAGGTCACTGTAAACAAGCCGCGTCTCAAAGAATCGCGGACCTGTCTTTATAACATGCAGCATCAATGCAGCTATATTCATTACCTTTCACACCAGTGGAAATTTTGAGATCATGTCAACATCAACCAATCCAACAAACAAAAAACCGACTTAAACCACCATCTTCAACCCCAAGACTTCCTCCAAACCCAGCTCCAAATCCCAAGCCTCACCACAGCGCTTTTCCCACCAAGGCACGCACACACGAACGCCTCGCCCAGCCGCGCCGCCGCCGTGCGCGGTGCCGTCAGGCGCCTCGAAGGGCGCGGCGCGGAAGCGCTCGGCCGCCGCCTGCGGAAGCGGTGGGGTCCGGCGACAGCCGGTGGTGGTGGGAACTGCCGATTCATTTTGGGTTCCAAGTGTTCGAATTGGAGCCGTTTCATGGAGCTGTTGAACTCAAATGATCATGTGTGAATGATTGGAAGGTCTGGTGTCTCGTCATGTGTTTGTCTTTCACACACACATGTTGGACTTGAACGGTTGGTTCAAGATTCAAGATGCTGCAGAATAGTTCATGTAGTTCAATTGGTCAACCGGTCTTGGGCCTTTTGGATGTTTCTTCAAGAATTGTAGTATGTTGTCTGATGGTACATGGTATACAGGAGCCTATTAAAACCAAAATCTACCAGTTCCAGGCAGTATGGACTGTCAATGCTACCTCCTGACGGATGGTGGAACTGGCGCTATAATCAACTCATTAAATCCAGATGGTCCTGGACGCTCAGTCGGGTCGGTCGGTTCAGAAACCTCGCAAAGACTCCCTTCGACGACACGGAAGGCCTCGAAGATGGCCCGATGTTCACGACGGGAAGACCTCCAAGCAGCTGTGGAGGTCGTCCGCTGCATGGTCATTGTCACTGACGGGTATTTATATTTAGGTGTATTTCATAATGCTAAACAAATTTGGAGAGAGGAGACGGCTAATATTGCAGCAGCAGGTAGCAAGGGCTCCTGCCCCGGAATGCCTTTGACACCACATTCAAGAAGGCCTAAAAAAGTCCCTATGACCTTGTCTTGAGATGTCATTGTGGTGGATGATGCTGGAGACACCTAAAGCTGGAGGCAACCACTATATATATTCTATAGCCCTGGCAGTTTTGGGCCGGTACCACTGGTTCCATCATGTTCCATCAACCATCCAGAAGCGACAAGCAAGTAAACAAACGCTGCAAAACATATGAAGATATTCCAGTTCAGTGAGGTGATTCACCAGGAAACTGAGACCTTATAGCAACATTTCCACGCAAGCAAACCCTCTACATCGCATCCCTCCCTCCCAAAGTCCCGTCATTCCAAATGGCTTTATACCGATCGTTTCAAGAGGCTTCATCCCCAACAATCCCCCAGTGAAGCAGTTCATCGCAGTTCATGTTGGAGTTTCCAACACCTCGGAAGAGCTTCTCTCCTCCTCCCGGCCACTGGTGGGTCCGACTTCTCTGTCCCTCCAGTCCCTCCGTCTTCCGTCTCCGCCTCTTGTCGGCGTTGCGGACGATGGGGCCAGACTCCGCGTTCCCCATGGCTCATCCGGGGTCGTCCGTGCCGTAGTTCGTTTTTTGTTCCAGGGGTCGCGGTGGCGTGGGCTGAGGCAAGAAGAGTGGATTCAGTGGTAAAGCATGGGGGTTGCTATCCTCTTAGGGGGGTCAATTGGCTTTTGTTTTCAAGTGCGGCGTTGCAATTGATGGAATCTTGCGTGGTGGAGTTCTAGGCTCTGGGTAGGTCTTACCAGGGAATGAGTGGATGCTAAGTTCAGATTGGTTTGGGATACCTTTTCTGAGGGCCGGGAAACTGTTTGATGGCCATGGGCATCCCACCTACATGCGTGCGACAAGACCACAACAACACACCTAACTTGGTTCACTTGGGTGGGATGGTCAACTGGATGTAGGTAAAGCTGGATCCTTAACGTTGGAGGACTCCCATTTATAACGCTTCAAGTACGTATCTTCAATCTCAAGCTTCTAAATGTGTTGGAACCGGAATGCAGAAACACTCTCGAGCTACAGTCACCTCGAGCCTTTTTGGAAGGAGCCAGCGAGAAGATGCGGCACCAGCGAGAAGGTGCGGCCATGCTGAGCCATGCTCACCAAACACCTCAGCATCCACCTCGGTGTCGCCCTCCAGCAGTTTCAGCTGGTTTCGGATTCGGATCTGAGGGAGGGAGTGTATACTGACTATACGATGTGAGCATAAAAATACATGAAGGCAGCCCTGGACCCTATAGTCACCATAGGGAATCGATTTGGTTCTTCTTTATGTATCTTGTATTTGGGTATCGGCCGCAGGTTACTTTTTGCATCCTGCAGTCGGCATGCAAAGCGATTTAGGTCTCCTCATCCATGTCGCGACCATCTCCAGTCCGCTTTTGCAGCTGCGCATTCTGCAGCTGCAGTTGATGAAGTCGTAGCCCCAGCTCATGGAAGCATGAGGCCATCAGTGACTCCTGCGCTTTCCTTAGCTTTGCTTCATCCGAGCAAGAAGAAAAACAACTATATTCCTCCACAGGTTTCCCTGCAGGAAAACTTGAAAAAAACTCCTTCTTCACAAATCACATAGGACATCATGGAATCCACCCCAAAACCTTGGCACCTTCGACAAAAACACTAGAATCCAAGTTTCAAGGTATTACTCTCTGCCTGACTACGCCAGTGAAAGACTTGAAGTTCGCGTTCTCTCAACGCCACCTGCGACTGCAGTTCTCGGTTCGCCGCTCGCAGCTCCTCCCGCTCCTCCGCCGCCAGCTGCGACGCCACCGGCGCCACCGGCAGCGTCGCCGGTAACGGCGCCGCGGCGGGCGCCGTGGCCGGCGCGGGGCCAGTGGAGGCGGCGAGGGTGGCCTGTTCCAGCTCCCCTTGGAGGAGCTTCACCTGGAGTTGGCCGATTCTCATTCCAGTGTGGAATATTTGCATAAAGATTCAGATTATTATGAGTCAAAGGCATAAGTTGTATGTAGTGGAGATCTGCTTTCTTGATGTGGTTGTGACACCAATCCGTTTCCAAAGGAAGCAACTCACCGATCAATGAGATTCCAAGGGGTGGTGCATCTTTAGAGTCTATAGATGTCTACAGACTTTTGGGGCGAATGTATAGACTATGGACGTAACCTCCCTAGTTCAAGGATTCACATATATGACCTGCATCCAGTGTCCACCTTGTCTAGAAATTGCATGATCCTAATTCCCCAGCCCCACGCCCGCGCACGCCCGCACATGCACAAACCGACCCAAAGAAGCCCGCCCCACGCACCGCGTGGCGCGGGTCTGGCCTGGAGTTGCGCCTGGTCGCGCTCGCGGTTGGCCGTTTGCAGCTCATCCCGCAGCGCCGCCAAGCGTCCGTGCAAATGCTCCACGGTGCCGGAACCCGCCTGTCGGGTGCAGGGCACCCGGTGGGGGCGGTTGGAATATGGAGGTATATCTGGGGTAGTAGTAGGTATATATGGTATATCTGGGGTCTCTCTTCCAGGAGTCAACATGGAGATGGGAGCCAAACGAACGGAGGAAGTTGAAGTCGGGGTGCCCCGACGTCACATCCACGGCCCCTGGATGGGACTAAACACCACCCCGACATGTGACCCCTGGTTCTCTTCATTTAGTTTCTTTTCTTTTCTGTTCTTTTCTCTTCTCTCTGCAGAGTCGAAGTGTCCCACAGCTGCTTCATGCCGGTTCTAGAGGAGCCGTAGGGAGGTGCAGTGCCCGTGCTAATGGGAACCTGTTGGGAACGGCACCTCCCAGTACAGTTCGTTCTTTTGAACACCATGGCGACTGGTGAACGCAAGTCTGTCACGGAGTGAAGCAGGCGCCTGTTTTTGGAACAATCAATGGGGGATGGAAAAGGGATGATGTCTCTTTGGGCATAGTGTTGCATCGAATAGTTGTTCTTCTCAAAGTTGTCTACACTCACCTTATCTGCATAGGACACACACACAGTGATGGAGCCTTAAGACCTGGAGGGCGGAATTTCACATGTGCACCTTGTTGTAATTACAGTCATTTGTCTGCTATCCCGCCATATCCTGCCAGCCACTTCCGAAGGGTCACCAAATACCCTGGAAACGCTAGAGACCTGATTGTTCGGAATGTGACTGTTATGGACTGTTTGGTCCAAAACCTGCCTTGTTGGAAGAGGTAATCTCATCCAGCTGCCTTCGGAGCTCTTCTTTCTCTCTCTTCCAGACTTGGCACTCCTGAACAAAGACAAAGGAAGTCTGGATCGATGGCAAGACCAAGAAAAAATACTAGCTCCTCAAACCAATGTGTGTTACATGCTGACCTCCTTAGTCTGAAAACAATGCAAACCCCAAACAACAAACGCACCTTCAAACTCGCATCGCTTCCCCTGATGATCTGGCACCACCAACTGCGACCGCTCCCGACATGCCCACTGCCCTGCCCTTTCTACTGCTCCTCAAGCCTCTTCTTGAAGATCTCCAGTTGACTCTGCAACTTCTGAGCCTCCGGCAGCGTGCCACAACTCTTCCTCCTTGCTTTTTGGGTGCCCACCCCAAATGCCACTTTCAACACGGGCTTCCAAGGAACACTCTTAACACACACTGGACTTCATATTATGTGAGATGATCTGCGAAAGTCACATGTACCCTTCACTTTCTCATCTTCGTCGGACCAACGGACCTGACCTCGTTCACCCGGGTGGACCCCCTCCGCCGGTCGTGAACGACCGGAATCGGTTCGCGCCTTCTGCGATTCCACGCGGGCGACTTCCAACTCTTCCCGCAGTCGCTCCATCTCGGCGTCCTTCTGCCGGAGCTCGCTCTGGTAACCTCGCCCGCCCGCGCCAGCTGGCAGCCACGGAGGAAGAGAGCTACGAAGCTCGAGGTTGAAGAAGCCTATAGACTATATCCCATATAGGTACACTCCTGCATAGGGTGCTATAAGGTCACTTAACCTCTCTTGGTATGGAACATGGTGACCATCAAGGTGTGCTACAGTGCTTTTCTAGAGTAGATGGCACAACCCCCTGTCATGTCTTTTGAGATGGAGGTCCACATATAAACCATCTAACTTGGGGACTGTGCCATTCCACACTCAATCCATCAAAGTGTGCCACCAGTATAAGTGATGCTCAGCTTCGAAAACATGGGCCACTTCCTCTGCCACAGCTCAAACTGCCAAGTCCAAGAGGCTGGAGATTTCCTGATCCAGCTTCCTAAGTCGTCCAACCGAACGAGTGTGCTCAGCCACTAAACTCCAAAGGAAGAATGATGCATCATCATTACCCACTTGTGCATGAAAGGTCTTCCCAAAGTTCCCAAAGTGTCCAAACATGTGCAAAATTGCATGCATGTTCTGCATTACACTCACGTGCTTGCAAAGAAACATAAAGAAACATTGTCATCCAAGGGTCCATGCCATCGCACTTCCATAAACTACTTCAAAGGAGAGTGTTTAAAGAAAACGCCAGAACAAACCAAAGAAGCTCTGCCTGCGGATTCTTTATCCACCCACATCGCCACCCCCCACGTTCATCGCACGCCCACGCGTTCCACCGCCAGGACGGGCGTCATCTCCAGCGCGGCACGCTGCTCCTCACGGAGACGATCCTGGGCCTCTTCAGCCACTCGGAGCTCCGCACGCGCCAGGCGCTCCTTCTCCTGGCGCGGAGATCAAGTTCTGACCAGACAGACGTGGGATCAGCATCCAAGTCCCAAACCAGCAACCAACAGTACCTAGTCAAAAATCTGCCCTTTGGAAATCCAACATCCAGGAGCTCAAAGCCAAGCGAATTCAGTTGCCTCTTTACTACTCTTTCTCCTTTCATCTCCTTTCCCACCCTTTCACATGTCACATGTCACTGGCACGCACGTCTCCTGCGCTTCGAGGCGCTTGCTGCGTTCAGATTCCAAGTCCGACATCAACTTCTGGCGATCTTCTTCCCAACGTTCCTGGCATGGCCGCCCGGTCAAACCCGCGTGCCACGTGGCGAGACGTCGCGAGACGTGGCTCGGGGATATGATCAACTTGCCACACAAATGCTGCTGAACAGCACGCCACGTGTTCTTGAGCGGTTGTTGTTTGAGGAAGCTGATATGTCAATTTTTATACCATATGCCATAGACGCCTCAAGTAGTGTCTCAATGCTTGTCAGGGTTTGGGGTCAGCAAGTTACGCATCCAAACCCCGCCTGCTCTTCCTTCAGCGCGATGTAATGCCTCAGCTGACGAAGTCACATCCCTGGATCCTCCAAAGTACTGGAACGGGGGCATGACTGGAACAAAAACGATATGCAATCATTAATGATCCTTCATGATCTATTGCACATATGATCATATACAGTATCTTTATGGGTTCAACCCATCTTTTATAGAAACCACCCTTTCAAACCAATGTCCCTTGAGCACCCCCATCCTTTTGCTAACACCACTGCCAACACCTGCTTCCGCTCTGATTCCGCTCCAGCTGCTCCTTGAGGCGCCGGAAGCGGGTCTCCGGGTCGAGACCCACTTCCAAGAAATCCGGCAACGCGAGCTCGGAGCTGCCTGGGTCCAAGGGGACGGCCATCGGTCTATGGGTCACTTCGTTTTTGGCATGCGGAAGAGGGGCGCAAATATGAGACTGATGATCTATGGAAGCACCCAATGGTGGGAACGCAACTGTACTTGAAGTAGAAACAATATATATATAGACACTCATACACATCAGGTTAATGTTGGCGCCTGATTAGTAAATAGGGGCTCCCCCCCCCCCTCTCAAACAAACAGGAGGTCCTCTATAATAAACTATCACCAAAACAAATCTGGATTCCTGTGAGAATTCCTTCTTGTAATTGATTGTAGTATTCATTTTCCTTTCATAGATTGTATTCAGCTTCCTTTCTCAGGTTCTTTGTAATTGTTTTCAGCAATCCTTTTGCTTTGCAGCCTCAGATCTTCAGCTCAAGAGAAGCCCCAAGCTTTCATTGGCCTCAGGAGCTAAGTAAAGGGAGATTCCATGTGCATTTTG